GTCTAGCAGTTCATGGTGGCCGTAAATTAAAGCAACCGAAATATCTGGCATTGCATTTGCTTTAAAAACGAAAAGGGATTAATCTAGAGCGCCGACATATTGAAATAAATACTTCTACTAATGTAACGACTGTTCAATCAGCAGAAACGTAAAAACAAATAACTCATCTCTTGATCTACGCGACAGCCTTCTCGGACCGCCATTTTAAGGTCACTAATTAAACCCGAAAACTTGGAAATTCAAACTTCAAAAAAATGAAATTACGAATACTTGTCTAGCTACAACGTTCGTTCTAAACTGTCAAGTTCTTAGCTTTTTATTTTCAATCATACATAACCTCGACCTAGTTGCTAAAGAAATTACACGACAAGGATGGAGTTGTTACCAAAATCCTGAAAATAAAGTCTGTCTGTTCGCTGTTNTGCCAGGTTTGAATGGAAGCCATAAGAAAGTTGTTGAAAACATGTCAAAAAATGATGAAAAAAATTATTTTGGTGGCCTGTTTTAGAAGTGCACCACTGTAAATGCAATGATAAGTATTACATTAGTATGTCCAAAAGGCATTTACCTGTCAAAAATAGAATTTCTCAAACTAATTCTAACTTTGGTTAAAGAAATTACACGACAAGGATGGAGTTGTTACCAAAATCCTGAAAATAAAGTCTGTCTGTTCGCTGTTAAAACAGACGCTATTCCAAATTTAGCTCTCAGTTGCTGACACTTTTATGTGGGCTATGTGGAAGATCTTTGGCATAGCATGATTTCAAAACGTGCGTCGCACTGGCACTAGCTCGTAGTATTTGGCAATCTGGGCAATTATTGTTCGTTGTTGCTCAATTTTAGATCCACGATTTAATTTCCATGAACAAATAGCAAATGGCGCCAAAAAGTTCACTAAAAACACTACAAACAGTTTGCGACCGAATTAGAGGCGAAGGTTTACTAAGTACTTTCAAAATTACCTATCGAGGCTTCCCTCAGATCTTTTTACCCGACTATAGAAAGAAGAAACAAAAGCGGCTGTTAATGTATCTATCGCACTATACGAACTGCATCTATCAATAGGCTGATTTAGCAAGAGAACGGGAACGTCACTTGACGACGGCGCGCGCAGTACAAATACCCAAATATGGTTAGATGACGACTGCAGGGCGCGCGGAATAATCTGGATTCTGTTCTAATTTGACCATTTTTGGGTGTTTGTTCTGCGCGCGCCGTCGTCAAGTGACGTTGCCGTTCTCTTGCTAAATCAGCCTAATGTTAAGCCCGGACGGGTGGTGTGGGGGGTGAGGGATATGTGCTACTTTTGACTTCAATATTGCCTTCCCCAGGCCCAAGGGTGGGGAAGTTTGATTTTATTACGAGGAGGAATGGAACCAAATGACATTATTACATGTGTTCGTCTGTGCCGCCATCTTGAAATACTTTTCGCGGAATAACACGGACCGTTTTGGAGGTAAGCACTTGTTTTCGACGAATAAAACATCTACCTCTCACTATTCACTTTCAATATAAACTGATGGAATACCTGTCTTTGTGGGGATTTCGTGGATTTTTAAATTATATAGTCTCGTTTTTCGCCAAACAATCAAGCGTTGGAATTCTATTATTTTTCATCCATTGACAGCAAGGTATTATGCTTCTCTAAAATGAACGGACGCCTGCAGGGCATCAAGATCTGATTTTACTGATTTTTCGGGCCCTCCACTGAAGAGTGTGACCAAAAATTCTTCTGAAAAGTCATATTACCGACACATAATATGCCCGGGTTCCTACATTGATAGATGCATTTAATACCATTTCCTTTATAAAATAAATCAACAAATTTTAAAATATACTATGAAGGAAAGTAAAAAGAAATACACCAACGTATACACCTGGATTCCATTGCTTATGTATTTATTTTATTTTATTTTATTTTATTTTATTTTTGGCGACGGGTAAAAAGAAATATTAAAGTAAAAGTGCTAGAAATGATGAACCGAGTCCACTTATAGGCACGAGGTAGACCTTTTTCCTGTCCTTTGCAATTTCATTTCCTTTGTAGTTGTGACTTGTCTAAAGACGCATACAATTCTACAATTTCATTAAATACGTTAGTAAAACGTAACCTTCACAGAAAGAAAGATGTTTTACTTACGTTTGTAATTCGAAATAGTGAAACATTAATGTAGAGGACTCCCTTAACTGGAGTATAACTTGCTTTGCTCTTTTTTTTTTTTTCATATATATACATGTATGATCACTAGATGAGCCTGATTAGCCAATCCTGAATTCAACTCAAGATCCTGTTCAAACGAGATTTCCAAACAATGATAAAATTCGGTAAACGGGTAAATTGTTTTAGGAGGGAGTAGCCCCATGCAGTACCCAGGGATAAAGATATTGAGCAGACGGCTTAATAGTTAGATTTGCAAGGCAAAAATTCCAATTTTGACCCATAAATATTGAAGCTGTCTTTTGTAACATAATACTGGAAGCCACAGGTTTGTCAAGCTTCAGTCCTGTACCTCTTGTTTGATATCGCTTAAAAAATCACAGATCCTGAAGCAGCTTTCATGCTGTTCAATTTTGACTGGTTTCATTTCGAATGAATGTGATCTTTGATGAATTTTGAAATATCCATTGCTTTCAAAAGGCTTCTCTCCTGTGTACATTCTGTTGTGTTGCCTTAGATTTGCTTTCCAGGTGAAACACTTGCCACAGTAATTGCACCTAAGAGGTGTTTTCCTAGTGTGTAATATCTCATGCTGCTTTAGATTACCAGCAGAACTAAAATACTTATCGCACTTGTTACATCTGAAGCGTTTCTCTAGCGTTTTGTGTCTTCGCTCATGCTGTTTTAAATTTCCTGAACGGGTAAACTGCTTGTCACAAAGGTTACATTTGTAGGGTTTCTCGCTTGAATGTATTAGTTTATGCTGCACGAGATTTCCTTCTCGACTAAAACGCTTGCCACATACGTTGCATTCAAACGCCTTCACCTCTGTGTGTAATATTTTATGTTGCTTTAGGGTATACGCATGACTGAACTTCTTGCCACACTGAGAACATTGGAACTGCTTCTCTTGCAGATGTGTTAATTTATGTTGCGTTAAAGTTCCTGGTTGACGAAATGATGTACCACACTGATTGCATTTAAAGGGCTTCTCTCCAGTGTGAATCCGTAGATGTTCGGTGAGAGTTACCTTCCGACTAAAACACTTGTCACATTGATTGCACCTGAAGGGCCTTTCTCCGGTATGAATCATCTCATGGAGCTTTAAGTTGCTTGCTTGACTGAAGCGCATGTCACACTGGCTGCATTGAAAAGGCTTCTCTCCAGTGTGTATCTTTTTATGCCGCTGTAAATTCCCAGAAAAAGTAAAGCACTTGCCACAGTGGTTACATTCAAAAGGCTTCTCTCCTGTATGCACTCTCTCATGGGCCCTGAGATTTGCCTCGAAGCTGAAACACTTGTCACAGGTCAGGCATTTCAACGGCTTTTCTGTTATATAAGCTGCTCTTCCCTCCGAGATGCTACCCGTTACCGCTTCAATTACATCCATCATCCTACTTATGCTTCCAGCTATTACAATGGGGTCCATTTTTGAGTCTGCAAAAAAAAAAAAATCGTACATTTGAAAAGAATCATTGGCATAGTAGATTTCAAGCTGAAGTTGCTAAGTTCAAAGTACAAGATTTGAATGAAGTAAGGAAGTTATCACAGTTGTTCTTCAAGGGTTCAGGCGCAATGACTTAATGATGCAGTGTACCAAAGCGAATAAAAATCATAGAGTATTCTAGCCTCGAAAAAGCAATGGTGACGCTATAGAATTCTAGACCAATCGAAGCGCGCAGGCTATAAGTGATGTACAGTTGGCCTGGGTTGTTCAAAAGGTGGATAACGCTATCCACTAGATAAATCACTATCCAGCAGATATCGCGGTTTGTTTTGTTAACACTTATCCACTGGATAGCGCTTTATCCGGTAGATAGCGTTTTCCAGCCTTCGAACAACCGGGGCCTGCAGTCTTCAAGGATGAAGACGTGAACTATTCAAGTCTTATTCTGATACTGGAATCCAAGAGTATTCCGGCAAGGCGCACCGAGGTAAAACGTGACGTACACATGAAGTATTCAAGAGTGCTCAAGGATACAGATTGAAATTGAAAAATACGCGTTTTTTCCCTTTCCTTCCCCACGCACTTTTCCTACGCCGGCATGGCGGCGAATCTACTCGATCGCGAGCTAATACCGCTAATTGGTGAGCATGCGAAAAACGCTTGGGCGAATTTGGGTCCGACTTTTTTTTTTTATTTATTTATTTATTTATTTATTTATTTATTTATTTATTTATTTATTTATTTTATTTTTTTTGCCCAGTGGTTTTAGGCGTGCACTGGCTCAGGAGGCCTGGATTTAAGCCGACCCTAATCCTCTTGAACTTACTTTGAATTTAGCAGGATTTAAGTTTAAGTGTTAATTTTGCATGCAAATTTAACTTAATAGAATTTTTTTTTCTAGCAAAACGAAAAAATCCCGTTCTGTTTGGTCAAAAGCACTTTCAGAAAGAGAATTCAATTTCCTGAAAGAAGACTCAGTCTGAAGAACTGGTATCTAATAACGAAAGTCCTGTTGGGAACGCTATGTCAATTTAGATCCGGTTCAGGATGAAGCTCCTTTCAAAATTGAAATTATCAAAATTATATATCTATTTCTTAACAGCATACAGTTGCAACTCGATTATGCTTAGGTCCCTCGGCTACGCCTTAAATTTTTAGCTCCTTAGTTACAACTATTATGAATTTTCAATTGCATTTTCGTGCCATATCACTATGGAATCAAGGCGAAACTTAAAGAACGCGTAATGGGAGCTTTGATTTTTTAAGCGTTGTGCGCGGTCTCTTTTCTTGTATGATATTTCTTGTTTATTGACAATTGATTAAAACATCAGGGGTTTTTTCTTTCATGTGCAATTTAGGATGGTTGAAAATTTTAACCAATCTCGAGAGATTTTTATGACAAAGAACATAACGGCCATGTGGGTGAAACAAACGAGGCAAGCTGATAACAAGCTGCCCCTTATTCGTTCCTCCGTTATTTGAAATTAAATATACTTGGCACCATTTGAGCTATTCCACTCGATTTTATCTAAAGGTGGATTTATACGCTACTTTCGGCTCGATTAGTTGTGATCTCATTCGTACAGGCCAAATTAATTGAACGCCACGATTTGTCAGCACAACTTCTTTGTTTTGCATATCACGTGAAGAAGAAGAAGAAAAAAAAAAAAGAACGAGAAAAATTGTCGGCGCAGTCGTTTTCTTTTGAAATTTAGGCTAAATCAGGCCTACAAATCGGAACTGAGTGTACAACTGAACTGGCCTTTAAAGCCTGTTTCTACTAGCGTAAAATATAAATGCATTTTTGGCCAAAGGTATAAAAATAGAATGAATAATAATCCAAAAAATATGAAACAAAAACTGACTTTACACGACGACATGATCGAAGGAGACCACGCATGCGAAAGGCATTAAGCTTTCCTCATTTCTGAGGAGTTACAAGCCACAAAAGAAATACGATTCAATCGTTAAAGAGCTTTGGAATATAAGCGCTTTTCATCATTTAACGAAAGATTGCGAATACAAAACTTGATATTTAAAACGAGCAAATGATGCGGTGAGTGTAGATTTAAATGCGAATGTAGTTCACTGTACTCTTCTACCTCAAACGATGTGGGTTTTTGAAATATATATTTTTTCTTACCTTTATCGAAGGAAAACAGTCAATTATTGGAGCTGGTAAGCTTTGAGGGCTTCAAACCTTTCAACACCGCAACTGTAATGACAACACTGGCGCCCAGTCTATATCTAGCGATTCGTATCTCAAAGTCGACTGGGTATCGCTTGCTGTGCCGTTACAAAGCTTCAAAGAAAGCAAAATGTCGGCTCTGTGTGAATGTTTTGTTGTAATAGAAGCAAGCGGAACTTGTAATTAAAAGAGCGGGTCGTATTCAAAGATATAACATTTCTCGCCCGACTAACAGGGCCTAGCAAAGAGTTGTCAAAATGTCAAACCTCAAATGAATAAATCGGTCACTAACAAAATATAAGCCTTTCTTTCCTTCAAAGACAGCTAGCTCATTCGTCTTTTGTCAAAAAGACCTGTTCAATTAAGTACATGTACAAAGAGCGTTTTTTATCTTTTGATGTCACAGACGCTTGTAAGATATATCAGTGGAGAAGCGTTTTATGAGTTTGGAACTAAATCCCCTCATTGAAATGTCGTGCTTCAACTTACCATTGCATACGATGTCATTTTATTCAAATTGGCCGATCATAAAATCGAAGCGCGGAATAGCAACCAGACATGAGCACATTCATTCACGGTATTAACACAAATACAAAAGAGGTTTTCTGCCCTTAATCCTTCGATTTCAGCGAAGTTGTTTTACTGTAATTGTAGTAGTTAGGAAGTGCTGTTTTATTCATGCCTACACGACCACATCAGCTGCGCAGTATAATTGTTCTACTGTGTTTAAATAAATAATAATTATAATAATAATTACATTTCTATAGCGCCAATCCAATAATTGCCCAAGGCGCATCACAAATAAAAATGAGTAAAAATAGCCAGCGTTTTGAAGATTAAAAAAGCCTGTGTTTAAAAATGTAAATTAAAATGTCTCAGGCAAATTATTATCGCGAGAAAAAAATCTTTTATTGTGTTTTCATGGAATGGTCTTCGCTGTTAAAGCTCTTGCATTAAAATAATTAATATATATATATACTTTTTTTTTGCTTCAGAAAGTAATTTGTGCCTCATTTGAATACCACGTGTTATCATTTGATACCGCTTGTAGTTCAGTCAACGCGTGAACAGGCCAAATGCCCGTCAACAGGTCAAATGCCGTTAAGGTAACCGATTAAACCGGCTAGTTGCAAACGATTTCAAGGAAGGAAAATAATGGAGAAGTCTTTTGAAATAGTAGTTTAAATAATTTTTTTTTTGGTGCCGGTAATACGCCTTTAACTCGTCATATCCATTTTAAATGTTCTTGCCGTATCACCAAAACACTGCAAGGCTCGTAATATAAATTATTGTATAGACACTTGTGTTTTACTTAACAAAGTAAAAAAGCTTAAGCCGTGTATTACACTGTGGTAAAACACGCTGGGCATTTGAAAACACAAGGGAAATGTAGAAAACACGAGCCGCTGCGAGTGTTTTCTACATTTCTCGAGTGTTCTCAAATGTACGGAGTAAATGAAAACACGCTCTTTCTATGTTTTATACTCTGATGAAGCATGGGTTTTTGACCAATCAGAGCGCACGCAGGGTCCTATCAATATGGAAAATACACCACTCGTATCGACGACTTCACTGCTACCATGTTTGACCCTTAAACTATACTTAATTTGTTGGTGTATGATCGAAACATCTTCGAATCTTCCTCGAAAGTCTTAGGCAATCTTTGGAAATCTTCGTAAATCTTCGTAAAATGTTCGGAATCGTTCGTGTGCTTTAGGGCACTTTTTGAAGAATCTTCGGAAATCTTCGGAAAGTGATCGGAAAACATCGTTATCAGTATGTCAGGTATGTTTATACAATAAACAAACTAACCCATGGTTGCTTGTAGGTAAGGAATACGTGCATCTCTTCTCGTGTTCAACTTTATATTTCACGAGCGAGCAAAGCGAACGAGTGAGATATAGATGATATTACATGCCCGCGCGTGGATACATATTGTATCTTCGAGTGTTCAACTTGATATCTCACGAGTGAGGGCAGCGAACGAGTGAGATATCGAGTTGAACACGAGAAGATAAAATTCGTATCCACAAGCGGGCATGTAATATTCTGTTTATTATACAAACATGCTAATGACGAATTTTTTTTCGATTTTCCGAAGATTTCCGAACACTTTCCAACGATTTCCAAAGATTCTCCAAAAGTTGTCCGAAGGCCAGACAAACGTTTTCAAACATTTTCCAAAAATTTCCGAAGATTACTGAAGATTTCCGGAGATAACCGAAGATATCCAAGGAAGATCCGATGATGTTTCGATCACGCAGCAACACATCTAAGTTCAGTTTAAGCGATTATCATGTTAGTAACCATGGCGACACCAATATCCTCACACGTGAAAGATAAAAATAGTATCTTCACTGCACACGATGAAGATATGATTTTTTGGTAAAAGGAGAAATCTAGTATTTCACTAGTGTTAATATAATAAATGGATATATATATATATATTATATCATATATTCAGAGAAATTCAGAGAAGGAGAGTGAAATATTTGAAAGAAAAAGATATGGGATCAACAACAGAGCTATCTGATTCGATGACTTTAATTATTTGCCCTCTGAACAAACTAGGTGGTGTCAATTATATATAAAAATATATAGCTGTCTGGAGTCTGTTGAACCACAGGGCTCACAGCATTCCCAAGTCTTCCAAGTTATCTAATACACAGATATCCCCTATGTACATGTAAAGGAACAAGTCATAAAACTCCTTAGAATGTCCACCTTCAGAAGGTTTAAGTTCAATAACATATATTGTGATATAGTATCTATTCTATAGATTACTAAGTAATTACTTTTTTTATCTACACGTACACAGTAGTGTGTTTTTAGTTAACCCTGAGAAACAAACTTGGTCGTTTACTGTGGTTTCTAAAAGAGTACAGACCTGTAGTCATAACTAATGTATTAACTGCAGTTTACATGGCCTTTGTCATTTATTTAAATCAATGACAAAAAAAAAAAAAAAATGTCAATTTTGAAAGAATTTATCACCTTTCTATCTATATGCAGGTGTTCAGAGAACACAGGAAGTATTTTTGCCACCCATGAAGAAAACATTTAACTTCTCTCTCTAACCACAATAACAATGATAGAAAATCTTATTTTTTAGGGAACATTGGCCAGAGCTACATAGAATACACACAATAAACAAAGCTTTCTATCAAACACTTACAAGTGTTTAATAATAAGGCATAACAAACAAGTGTGGCTTCCTTATAATTATATTTCTGCATTTAAATCTATACATGCACGGTACACACATATATAGATTGTCACGTGCACAATAATTTGAAACATGGTTGACCATGTTTTATACTCTAATAAAATACCAAGTAAATAATTAATTAGAGAGTGTGCAGTACCTAATCTACATTAAAAAGGATACTATCTTACGATTATTATAAATGTTATTTCTGGGTATGCATATCTGACCAGATCAGCAACTATTTTACTGTAAATAAGTCAAGACAGTCCAAGGTCAGTCACAAAAATCCCCCCTCCCCTCCCCTTACTTTTGGCAGCAACTAACCATTAAGCCACCAAAGCAAGCCCAGTACTTGGGCTGGGTTCACAGCAACCCCAGTCCAGTTAAAGCTGTCAGTTGGGCTTGGAACCTTATTCTGATAAGATATATATCTTAAAAACCATCACAGAAGAAAACAATGTTGATCAACAATTAACATAATTGCATCAGATAGCTTACCTTATACAGTAAATTAATTATACAATGCAGACTTGATATTTATCCAGCTTACAAGTTGTGCTGTGTAATACAATAAAGTATTAAATCTTCAGCATCAAATTTCACAGTCCATTTAACAACTACAATGTAACCAGCTATTGGTGCAAGTAACCAGCTCTTCTGACATTTCTAAATAATTGAACTGCATGTATTAAAGATAGCATTTCTATACAAATAATTTATCACTGACTGATAAACTTCTTCATCTTGGCAACTCGGAATGTTTCTCTACAAACGAAACCATCCATGCACACAGTTCTTTCTATAAGGCACCTGCTAGGGCCAATAAACTGTTTTTTACTCAAAGCTAATAGCCAGGTAGTACCAGTCAAGGCATAAGTTGGCAGTCATGAATTGAAACTCAATACTTAATCCTCCATGCTTTCAAGAATTGACAACTGAGCTTTGAGGTTTGAGGTTCCAGTTTCGAGTTTCAATTCTAGAGTCTCAAGTTTCAAGACTCCCAAAGAATTTTCTGAAAAAATTTAATTCTCAAATGCATAACAATAGCAGCAAGTTATGGAAACAATAGCAATGCAAAATTAGATCAGTACATGTAGATAAGTTCTTGAGTCGAATGAATTTTGAGTAACTGTCAAGTTACATTTGACTGGCACTGCACTTGCACTTGGATTTGGATGATACAGATTGCTGTATGTGTACATGATGTACATTCTGCACAATCTGATTAGAAGCTAGAGTTAGTATGAATAATACATGTAGTTTAGCTTGTAGTAATCCTGTCTGAGGATTATATCATAGTGTTAAACATACACCTGTTATATGAAACTTAATGGCAACATCACTGAGTAGAAAAAGCACCATAGGCTGGAGGCTCATATGATGGTGGAGCAGTGGACCCATAAGAAGGTGGTGGAGAAGTGAACCCATAAGAAGGTGGTGGAGCAAATGGCTGGGAATATGGTTGATAGTAAGGAACTTGTGGAGGTGGTGCAGCTGGCTGGACAGCAGCTGTAGGATCAAAGGTAAAGAATATACTGTCCACATCTATTGGGTAATCAGGACCTTTGTCTTGGTGAACATACTTCGCTGACACATCTGCTGATGTCACAGGTCTCCAGTGGTGATTTGCCAGAGCACAAAATAAATGGCATATTAGACTTCTGCCATGAAGGCCATCATAGCCAGTTAGTCCATCACCCCAAGGATTGCCCAGTAATTTGAACTCAAGACTACTGCCATAGCGCTGCACCCTTTGAATACCAATGACATACTGAGCCTGGATGACATCTTGGCATATCTAGTAAGTAATTACATTATTTGACAAAGCAACAACAAAAAAAATATGATGATCAGTCCAGAGTTCCCACTAGTTTTAATAGTTAAAGGTGCTTGGCACCCCCAGTTCCAAAGAGTTGGGAGTTCTTTTTGCTTTTCAGGGGTCCTTTACCTATGTAATTACTACAATTTTTGGAACCTTTTTCCTGCATCCCAAGGGTCCCCAAGGATGCATTTTGCCATAAAGCTATGCATCCTTTTAATTTTTTTTGCACGTATAAAGATGCACACCAGTGCATTAATGGGTGAGTGAGCTCCCTGGATAAACATTATTATTATTATCATTATTATTATTATTATTATTATTATTATTACTATTATTAGTAGTAGTAGCAGTAGCAGTAGCAGTAGCAGCAGCAGTAGCAGTAGTAGCAGCAGCAGCAGTAGCAGTCGCAGTAGCAGTCGCAGTCGCAGTGGCAGTCGCAGTCGCAGTGGCAGTCGCAGTCGCAGTGGCAGTCGCAGTCGCAGTCGCAGTCGCAGTCGCAGT